GCCTTTGACTCAAGGTGCCTTCGAACAACAAAGCAGTAGGATGACGTAGAGCTCGGGGTTCCTGCCCTTGGTCTCTGACTCAAAAGTCTGACAGCCGAGAGAGCGGTTTTTAGGACTTTTTGGAAGGGCGAGAGGTCTACCCGGAACTGATGACTCAATGGTCTGACCTGCTAGGCTGCAGGAGGTTGGCAAGCCCGAGGGCGCAGGGAGTAGGGCTTCACTCTCACCCTGACACGGTTGCGCACCGCAGATGCCTTTTAAGCAACACCGGACGCTTTGGCTTTAAAAGCATTTCAACCGTATTGAATAATGCGCCGGCGGTCATGGTCAACTGCTAAGCAACAGGAGTGTGCGGCTTTCGGGACCGACCTTTTCTAACACGTCATCCCTCAGAGACAGGCAGCATCTCAGCTTCCATGAATATGCACATGCTGGTCACCTGGAGGAAACACTTGACTGCCTTCACTCTACCGCGGAGAACAGTGACCGTGGCGGCTTTTGATTGGGATGGTGTCCTCCAACGGCAGGTCGTTCACGAATCCAAATGGATCACATCCTTACCAGCTAACAATGACGGCGGATCAATCAGTGACTACTACCGGTTTTGGAATTATGATCACGAGCTCTTCAGGATCGCGTAAAGAGCGCACAACTTCCTTGGCAACTTAGTTGGTGACAAACGCCGAAGTAAGACGAACTTCTCAGAATCGCTTTCGAGACTCTCTTCCCAATGCCCCGTCGTCTGTTGTCAATATGCCCTGGAACAAAATAATCATATTTATGTACAACGCTGGAGGCTTCAGTTTTGTTTCTACCAGGTCAGAAAAAGAACAGGAGCACCGCTTAAATCTCAGAGGAGTGTCCAAACCTATTCTGAACATAATTCAGCTAAAGAATCATCAGATCCAAGCCCATCTAAATTTGGTGGACAGGAAAGGATAGGCAAATGGAAGAAGCACAGAAAGCCGAGAGATTGTTTCGAATGATACGCGCGACCGAACCCTGGAGACCGACGGTGAGACAGGCACTATCATTTGCAGTGAGGCACCTGTGTGGATTTCCAAGGCGCGCCAGAATCGATTGACAGGACTGCCCTCCCGAACACGCCCGAAACATCAGTGGCAACACTGATGTTCCTGTCCTTGATGATGATGATGATGAGCTTTCCCAAAGCAGCACCACCATCAGAGACACCTACATCGGTGTTGATACTTTGCTGTCATACAACCACAACGTTTGTCTAATTATATTTAAAGCTCTACAGTGAAAAATGGGTGGTATCGGTGTTTGGGGCGCTCACACATCCAAGCGCTCAAGCTGTAAACTGACAGCACGGACGCCACGGACAACGAGTAGCCTCAATTTTTTGCAGCGTCTCCAGACAAGCACAGGGGTCACGAGAACTATCTTGGAAGGTGGATCGCACCCTTCTGTCAAGTTCTACCTCACAGTTTCCACCAGTCTGAAGAAGGCACGGAGAATGGAACTCGTCTCGGTAGACGGTGCTTCGGTATGCGTAGCACATGACAGAGCCATCATAGTCGGTGGTGCTGGATGTTCTTTGACCAACTGAAGTACCTGTCGTTTCTAATTGCCTACTTACTAACACGCTGACGCCATCCTAAACCAGACACGCTTTTGAGGCATCGGTGGTCGAAAACCTGAGGACGCCTCACATCATTGTCTGCAGAGGCCATATTTCGCTACCATACAGCAATACGGTCCTTACTATAGCCTGGCACACACAACTGTTGATAACCAGTGATATGCCTTTTCTACGCCATAAGTGAGGCAAATAAGCAAATCTCATTCTAGCCTTTGAGATTTGCACACTGACCTCATCAGACGCATTTCAGTCAGAGCTAATACGACTACCGAGGTATGTAAAATTCTTCACAACCTCCACTGATTTTCCTTAATTTGTGAGGGGTACCACCATAGAGCGCAATTATGAAGCATGACTTCATACTTTGAAGGTTGCAGGCGCATGCCGAAAAGTGACACGATGATGGCCAGTTTATCCAACGGAGCTCGTGCTGCATCCTGGTCTTCAAAGGTGAGAACGCTGTCGCCTGCGTACTCCAGATCGACAGTGCCGTCACTAGCGACAACTCGAGAACCGGGGTTTTGAAGACTTTCCAGCGTTGAACAGGAGTGGAGAAAAGGGACTTCCATGTCGGACAACACTTTTTGTAGAGAAGCCTTTAGAGGACCTTAGAGTTCTTAGAGCTTTTAGTTTTACTTGACGTATCTGGTTTGTGCTTGGTGGGTTTGTGGTCACGACTGATGGGGCACTTTCGCCGGTGCGTACGAGTGTTTAGGGTCAGTTAGAATGAACCTCAATTGTCCCTTCAACCGACCAGACACTCGTGTAGGTTCGTTAATTGCGTTTCATGGGTGTCGCAGATCCTCCCGCTGACATGAACTTTCGAGGCTGATCGGTCACCCATATCTGCTCCATTCCCCTCGGTGGTGATATTGACTTCAAATTCCTAGACGGCGGGTGTTTGACATTTCATCATCATCCGTCCAAGCTTCGATAGCCTCATTGATTTTGCCAATATCCACCGTTTCTTGCCTAAAGGCTCTACAGCCTGTGTTATCAACGCGTTGTATGGCATTTCAGATGCTTCACACTGGATCCTTGAGGCGGAAAGACGTGTCGTGCTAGTGCATTCGCGCGCACATTCTGGAATGTCCAGCTATTCTGACCTCGCTACATCGACCCACCAGGGTCGATGTGGTCCATCACAGAAACGCACGGATAGCTTACCACAGAGGAACAGGAGCAGAGTACGCGTAAGTGCACAGCCTCCTACGACCCAACCTGTGGCGATGTGGTCGAACTGTGTCTACGTGTTAGTAGTAGGTGTCCCCATTATGCCCGGTTGGAGACGCCGCAATACACGGCTTCAAATCGACCTCCATAGTTCTTGTTGTTGATTTACATCAAGACTGCCTGCAGGTGTTGGCACCTCGGAATGATTGTGTTAAACAAGCATTAAGTCCCTTCATTTATTTTTACTCATTTCTTCAGAAAAAGGCTTTCAAACAAATTATGGTCGTACGGTGGCAATCCATCAGTGCTCAAAATTGGTGATGTGCTGCCGACGGTTGCAAGATGTTTCATCTAGTCCAGAAAGTTTAGGCTGGCCAGAGTGGACGGTCAGAACAGACTCATGCGTCATCCACTACTGTCATTCCACAGAACATCATGGCCATGCAGCCTGCTAAACTGCGCTTCTTGTGTTGGCGACCGACCACAAAAGGGTTAAGGTCCCCAACCAGGACTCTCATACCTATTTTGACATGCGTCGGACTACGCAATAGTGCAGTCCAACGGGGCTGCAATCAGTTGGTGCGAAGATGCCGAACGAGCATTATTTATTGTTTGTGTCATAGAGGAAACTGTCAATCAGGCGACACAGAGCCTGCTGTCGATCGGTTGCTACTCGAGTGGGGCTGTCTCACCTTGTTGACTAAGGACTATTCCACACCTGAAGCTAGAGTAACGCAGGTGATAGATAGCCTTCGAATAAGACGGATTCAGATAAAGCAATCATCTGGAGACATAATCGTGTTGCAGAAGAAACAAGCATCAGGAGGATTTCCGACGTAATGGCTTTTCACCCGATTTATGTGCGAAGTCACTGAAAGAAGTCAGTTTGAGAGCGATTGTGGGCAGCAACAGGGAGTCGCATCCTTTCGCTGACCAGCTTTTAGAAAGAGCAGGCGCGTTTGGTGGCAAATCTTCCCCAGGAGGGTTCAGACCGTTAGGTTGACTTCAGGTTGGAATGTCCTTGTAGGCTTCGCTGCGGGTTGTAGAACGTGCGCACCAGAAGAGTGTACTGTCATTTGTGAGTGGGTCAGGCGGCCCACAATGATGCTCTCAGGGTAACCGGAACTCTTGTATAAGGATCCGTCCACGAGGCAATGGGGCAACGCGAGGAGTCACGCTGTGATTCTGGGAGCGTGTGGGATGTGACAGTGGTTTATTCACTTAGTCGACGAGGCCAGGCATCTTAGGAGCCCCCCCGATTGTCTGTGAGAACCACAGGTTGGCAGTTGCCCATCAAAGCCCCGTACGCTATCAACATGCTAGTTGAAGTTAGGGTTTGGTCAAAGCCCACTGACGGACAAATGGTGGTCCGTCAACCGACGTCCGCTTTTCTGATTAAAGCTCCATTTGAAGATGACGACGGAACCTGACATTTTCAGCAGATTACGTGAATGGTGTTTTTTTAACGTGGATTGGCCAGGATGAACCAGCATTTGTAACACGCACCTCAAGAATATCAAAGGGATTTCCAGCCACGCATTGTTTGGTACACGTGAGCCTTCGAATTCTTGCCATCGGCGGATTCTCTCTGGATTCGTTCATGGACGAAACACACATGTTTACTACGAAGGCTGTCAGTTCTGGGATTGGACGAATGGTACGGCAGGGAAACCGGATGAATTAACCACAAATGTCCCACAGGACTAAGCGCGTCCTGTTTGGGGTTGGAACAGGCAGCCAAACCCAAAAACACCCACAGATGGGCTCACCTTAGCAGGTTCACTTCAAAAACGACATAGTTGAAGCGTTTCGTCTGACCACTGGATTAAAGCCTAGGGTTGATCGACAGTTTGCAGCACACAAGCACTCCAGTCAGTGAAGGTCTAGACGCGTCCAGAGGATCCACGATATTTCGTGTTCTGCTGAGGACAGATGATTAGAGTCCAGCTTGCAAGAAATAGCTCACATGCCGAGTGGGTGGTAACGCCTCGTTGTGACGCGGCCAAAAAACGCTCCATCATCGGTCGGTGCTCCTACCTACAGCACCAACGATCAACTCCATCTGTCCCTGGAAATTCTGGAACTCGAAGCCTCGCGCCCATATGGTCTCAAAACATATAGGGAGGTGGACAAAGAAGGCTAAGGATAAATACCCCATATGGATTATCATCACCTCAGCGTAAAACCTAATTTGAATAATAAATTCTTTGCAAACCGTCATTCACAACTCAAATTTCACCCACCTGGCCTTATCCTCCATAAAGACGCCCTCTTTTTCCAGCTGCATGAAAAGTTCGCCTCCGGCTAGGAATTCCAGTACTAAGTACAATTTTCCTGGTGTTTGAAACGCGTAATGCAGCTGCACTAAAAAAGGATGCTGCCAAGGAGTAAACAAAACCAGAACACGAACCTTAATCATTTCCAGGATATTTCGTTCGCTTTTGGTATGTGCCGTGTCCTTGGCGTTAGTAACGATGGACGCCTTCTTTAGAACTTTCATCGCATATGTCTGGCCAGTATCAATTTTGCGAGCAAGGAAAACCTGTACGAAATACACAAGACCAAACAACTACCTTTCCATATCCACCTTTCCCGAGAACTTTCAAAAGCTGAAAATCGTAAGGCCGAACTTTTGGCTGTCCAGGATTGACCGTTTCCTCACATATTTCAACGGTCTCGATATCTCCATTTAGCCTAAGTACATAGAAGTGTAGGAGTGTCGCACTACTTACTCATCTGGCCTAAGCGGCCCATGCTCAAGAAATTCGGCCTGACATTTATTACACGAAAATTTCAAGTCTAACCCACCTCAACGCCAGCTGCATGTTGGTGAAAATCATCAGAAACCTCCTCCCCTTCCTCGAAACTCGAAGATTCCGGCATATCAAGTTGAAATACATCGGCAGTTGTCATTTTTCCGCACCAAAATCCAATCACATTTCACATTCGAAGTTGCCGCGGATGAAGCGAAGCCATCCAATATAACAAAACAGTGAACCAGTGCAATCAACTGATTCACGGNGCATCTTAGGAGCCCCCCCCCCCCGATTGTCTGTGAGAACCACAGGTTGGCAGTTGCCCATCAAAGCCCCGTACGCTATCAACATGCTAGTTGAAGTTAGGGTTTGGTCAAAGCCCACTGACGGACAAATGGTGGTCCGTCAACCGACGTCCGCTTTTCTGATTAAAGCTCCATTTGAAGATGACGACGGAACCTGACATTTTCAGCAGATTACGTGAATGGTGTTTTTTTAACGTGGATTGGCCAGGATGAACCAGCATTTGTAACACGCACCTCAAGAATATCAAAGGGATTTCCAGCCACGCATTGTTTGGTACACGTGAGCCTTCGAATTCTTGCCATCGGCGGATTCTCTCTGGATTCGTTCATGGACGAAACACACATGTTTACTACGAAGGCTGTCAGTTCTGGGATTGGACGAATGGTACGGCAGGGAAACCGGATGAATTAACCACAAATGGCCCAGAGGACTAAGCGTGTCCTGTTTGGGGTTGGAACAGGCAGCCAAACCCAAAAACATCCACAGATGGGTTCACCTTAGCAGGTTCATTTCAAAAACGACATAGTTGAAGCGTTTCGTCTAACCACTGGATTAAAGTCTAGGGTTGATCGACAGTTTGCAGCACACAAGCACTCCAGTCAGTGAAGGTCTAGACGCGTCCAGAGGATCCACGATATTTCGTGTTCTGCTGAGGACAGATGATTAGAGTCCAGCTTGCAAGAAATAGCTCACATGCCGAGTGGGTGGTAACGCCTCGTTGTGACGCGGCCAAAAAACGCTCCATCATCGGTCGGTGCTCCTACCTACAGCACCAACGATCAACTCCATCTGTCCCTGGAAATTCTGGAACTCGAAGCCTCGCGCCCATATGGTCTCAAAACATATAGGGAGGTGGACAAAGAAGGCTAAGGATAAATACCCCATATGGATTATCATCACCTCAGCGTAAAACCTAATTTGAATAATAAATTCTTTGCAAACCGTCATTCACAACTCAAATTTCACCCACCTGGCCTTATCCTCCATAAAGACGCCCTCTTTTTCCAGCTGCATGAAAAGTTCGCCTCCGGCTAGGAATTCCAGTACTAAGTACAATTTTCCTGGTGTTTGAAACGCGTAATGCAGCTGCACTAAAAAAGGATGCTGCCAAGGAGTAAACAAAACCAGAACACGAACCTTAATCATTTCCAGGATATTTCGTTCGCTTTTGGTATGTGCCGTATCCTTGGCGTTAGTAACGATGGACGCCTTCTTTAGAACTTTCATCGCATATGTCTGGCCAGTATCAATTTTGCGAGCAAGGAAAACCTGTACGAAATACACAAGACCAAACAACTACCTTTCCATATCCACCTTTCCCGAGAACTTTCAAAAGCTGAAAATCGTAAGGCCGAACTTTTGGCTGTCCAGGATTGACCGTTTCCTCACATATTTCAACGGTCTCGATATCTCCATTTAGCCTAAGTACATAGAAGTGTAGGAGTGTCGCACTACTTACTCATCTGGCCTAAGCGGCCCATGCTCAAGAAATTCGGCCTGACATTTATTACACGAAAATTTCAAGTCTAACCCACCTCAACGCCAGCTGCATGTTGGTGAAAATCATCAGAAACCTCCTCCCCTTCCTCGAAACTCGAAGATTCCGGCATATCAAGTTGAAATACATCGGCAGTTGTCATTTTTCCGCACCAAAATCCAATCACATTTCACATTCGAAGTTGCCGCGGATGAAGCGAAGCCATCCAATATAACAAAACAGTGAACCAGTGCAATCAACTGATTCACGGGTTGATACACATGATCGAGACACTCACCGAACCAACCTGGGTTGGGTTTCTTCCTTTTGCCCAGCGGCTTCTGTTAACCTGAAAGCCACAACCGAAAAAAAGGTGCAGCATAACAGCTCTTTGAGTACTCAACGTTGCGCGGTAATCTTGCTAGCGCGACGACTCAATTAAAAGGGCGTCCAAAGCAGAACCTTTAGTAAATTCCAATGCATAGTAACACCGAAGACGGGTGGATCGACCCTAATTTCACTCCGAACGTTTTGTCTAATAAGAACATTTTTCCCATGGTGTCCCGCATGACTTGCGTCTGGGGAGCATTAGGACGTGCGGGACTCAGTAGAATGCCTTTTAGAGGTCGAAAAACGGCATCTGTAATAAGTCTTTTGTTCTAAGCATGTTGGTTACGCAAGAATGGGTCGGAAGAAATCCGTGCTGAACTGGGGATATTACGTTGTTGGTGGTGGGGCTCTGTGCTTACATACGGCCCTGCCCATATTGATTGTCCTCTTTGACACCACTCCTACTCCATTTTGCGATGCACCGTGGATCCAAATCCCGGTTCGGATTCTTCCCTTCCCAGCGGGGTCGACCGTAGCCCCTCGAGTCCCCCTGAAGATAAACAATTCCTCATACCCAACCTTGAGCAACTCCCCTGCAGCTACAACTTCCCACACCTCCTGCAGTTAGGCGATTTCAGCGTCTCCTGGATGGAGCATTAGCGCGTCGAATCAAGGGGACTTTTCGCAGCGGCGCTGACGGAATTCGTTCGGCAGAGCGCTAAGACTCACAATGTTGTTGCACCTACCAGATACTGCGTAGGCCAACTACCATCCCCCCTGGAGTACGTCATCACCAACGAAAGGCAATTAGTTGATCGGGTGGAACATAGCAACCACGATGTGCTGACCTTTGCTTTCATCTCCTGTTGGGCCAGGAATCCTTGACCTAAAACGTGGTTTGGAAACTCTGCCGTTCAGCCTTCTCAGGAATACGCATCGTTCTTGAACAGGTTAAACTGGGACCTTATTCAGTGGAGGACGGTATGCTACCAATTAGTTGGGGATAAATATTATCATGTAGGACCGTTGTCCAGAAATTTTACGAGGCTGACGCGATGTTCGACTCAAATAAACCAGCATGTAGCCGCAGGCTGCTTAAAAGGATTCGGCGTCTTCTGGAAAAGAGGTCTCAACACTTTCCAGAAAATTGACTACAGGAGACAGAAGATGTGCTGGCAATTCGTAAAATGCCGAATCGCTGTAAATCAGAAATCCGCCAATGGAACATAGGAGAACAAGGTACTATTCTGGACCTCGCTCAGAAGAACATAAGTGTTCTGTTCAAATACATAAGACATCGCCACGGAAAAAGTCCTGTTGGCCTTTGCCCGAAACTATATGGTTTTCGAAGTTGTGACTTTAACGGGGAGTAATTCTGATCTCTGGTGATTTGCACCTTTATTTAGATTCCATTATAACAAACGTATTTTGTCAATTGCATGGTCGTTTTTTGTTTGAGTTCGAAAAACTACAAACTACAAAATTATACAGTTTCACGCAATACAAACGTGATCACGTGCTTCGAATCTCTTCTGATTTCGGTCGCGCTTACAGCGGTCATCCGCGGGTCTCATGCGCTAACTATGGTATCAAAACATTTCAGAATATCTTCAAACATTTTTATATGTGGGAAATGTCCAGAAGAAGATCCCTGGACATCCATGAGTGGATTATTGTTTATTCGCTGGCATGGGCCAACGACAAAACTTTAACCGCTTTATCACTGAATACTCAATCAGGCGATATTATTATTATTATTATTTCATTGCCACACACTCATGGTAGAGTAACTTATTGGGTAGTCGGACCCCTACATCCAGTCGCACCTTCCGGTGAACTGCTGGCCGCGGCATTTGGTATAAATGAGCGAAATTTCAAGGTCACGGACAATCATTGATTCGCATTTCCTCACCGGTTTACTTGACATAAAACACGACATCACACTAGAATATTTCGGCGTTCCTCCTACTTGAAAACCGGGTCGAGAGGACATTTCAACGGTCCTCCCAAGGTTAATATAAAACAATGATCATAATGTTCATTCTAAACTTGTGGGAGGCAGACCGACAGGCTTGACCGTAGATTTAGAGTCAGAATGGAGCATGAATGAGGAATCTGTGGGGGTGCCGATTGCACAAAAAGAGGACAATGATATGGACAGTGGTGAACATCCCATGATATAGGAAAACCAAAAAAGAGCAGCGCTGATGTTTGCCTATAGCTGGATTGACCTTGTTCCGGTTGTCATTTGTCCCACAACACCAAGAAATACAAACGGACGACAGCTGTCCTCCCGTTTGCTCTAAAAAATGAAAGAAAGAATATTAGAAAAACATTCATGCATGGGGTAGCCTGAGAGTACCTGTGGGGCTCACGGATAGCGTCGACGTGCAAGTGTTGCCACTCTCATCTTAGTGGGGTCACATCAACCCTAATCCACCTCAGCACTCAAACATAGCACACATGTTCTTCCCTCTTGTCACCCAGAGCGATCATATGCACGACATGCATACAACTTTTGATTTCTTGATTACAAGCAGTCACAGCTAGCACTTAATGGCTGTTTTATGCC